GCTTGTTGTCCGAGCCTGACGTCAGGCGCTAAGCAAGAAGGCCCAAAGTCACCCAGCTGGCTTTCATGCCTCAGGCAGGACTAGAACTCACCATCTCCTGGTTTCTAGACTGGTGCCTTCACCATGAGACCAAACTCTCTAAAGCTCATATTTGTGCTAATATTAGTGGAATATTTCTTGTGCCTCCCTGCAGAGGCTAGTGTCCATCAAAACTCTATTTAACTAGACAGGAAGCCTCTTCTGCACAATTCTTTGACGAACAGATTTTTGTGGATGCATTCAAAAGAGGGAAAACAGGTTTTCTAAGCTTTTCTAAGGCTACAGCCTCTGCTAAATCCATCTGAACCAAGATGCTTTATACAAAAATTCTTTCCACTCTGCTGAAGCTTGCTGAACCTCCAACTTCACTGAGGATTCTTGGCACTCTCGTTAGAATCCGATTACCCAGATTTTTAAAAGAGAAAGCTATTAATGGTTAAGCTGGTATACAAACTGGTATATGGCCAGTATAAATACACCCCAAATGGGATTGCCTTGATGCATTCAGTCTATCTCAAAGTCACAATACTGTTGGCATCCCCCTCCCTAAAGCAGAGACTCATTTTTCAGATCCTCTCATGGAAGCAGGAAGCCTTGGAAGCGAATCCAGAGGCAGCCAAACTCCAGAGCCTGTGGAAACGTGCGGCTTCTGCTTTCCCGAAGTGAGTCCTGCCGTCCAGGAGACCCGAGCATGCCCTAGGACGTATCAGCTAGGGATGCTGGCTGACGCTGCTGCTGCTGGAGGAACTATTCCTACCTCCGGAGACTGCCATTTCCAAATTATATGTTCTCCCTCCCAAGAAAAGATGCAGATGACCTAAGCAATCGACAGTGGGATACTGCAGGAGCGTGACCCTCCCGTAAGAAAGCTGCTTGAATTGTTGAGGTCCTTCCCCTACGCACAGGGGAGTATTTTGTCCTAGGTTAACAGGAATAGATCTTACTTTAAGCAATCAGAAGCATCTGGTAGGTAATTGCTTCCTATCGCCATTTCAGATTGCAGATAGGTCTTCATTCTCCTCCCTGAAAAGAATGCCTTGCTAATAGCCAGCTAGCACTTCAAAGATAACATTTCCATAGTCCAGTCCAGGAAAAGGCAACCTCACGGCCTCCAAATGTTTTTGGACCAGGCTCTCACAACCCTTTGACGTTGGCTACGTTCAAAATATTTGAAAGCGCAAGGAGGCCTCGTGTTTATTTATTTATACACCAGCGGCTTGCATTAACATTTTCACTGGCCTGGGAAGGACTAGTTTCTATTCACACTGAACCGCAAACCCAGAAGTAAACCCCATTTGTGGCTCCTCTTCTGAAAAGAAGTGGAAAGCAACTGAGGAAAACAAGGATCTTTGGAAGTCCCAGCTGCTCAGGGGAACCAGCACAAGAGCACTTGAAGGAAATGTCCAAGTTTCAAGGGAACAGAATTTGAAAACAATAAAGTTACTTTTCTGCAACATGCATTGGGTCATTGGTCCAAATGAAGTCAAAACATGAACCCAAAGGTTAAAGCACACAGTTCTAAACATGATGCGGATTCAGAAGGAGAAGTGTTGGGCAGGTGCATAAGAAGTCATTGCTTTGACAGCCCTCCACAGTCACCCCTGACCTTCTGAGTTATCCTGGCAGAAACAGTGTCCTGCTGGTCATCCTCACTGGATGCCTCCTGCCACTTCAGACCTGAAGAAAGCAGAGGTGCGTAGACCATGTGCTCTAGCACAGGGTTCCTCAACCTTGGCAATTTTAAGACGGGTGGAAGGCTGGCTGGGGAATTCTGGGAGTTGAAGTCCACATGTCTTAAAGTTGCCAAGGTTGAGGAACCCTGCTCTAGCAGACACACATGCCCAGGCCATGCCCTGCCTGTATGAGGTCCTAAGGGGGCCCCTTCTGCTGCCTTTTTTAAGTAGGCAGTGAGCTGGTACCAAGGGCCAAGGGGGTCAAGCAGCAGCAACGTGGGTAGGACTGTGGCAAAGGCTTTTTTTTTTTTTTTTAGTGGAATTGGGTGGGTCATTTTTTTGTGATGCAGGAAGTCAAAAGCTTTTGGCTTGCCTGCTTGAATGTTTCCCAAATGGTGAACCAGATGCTTCTAGGAAACCCACAACTGGAGCCAGAGGGGGAGGCAAGGAGAGCCAATGTTGACATGTGCGTGACAACATGAAGTGAATGTTGGGACCTACAGATTTGGGACATGTGTTGTGACAGACATGTGATGGCAACATCACATGCAGGTTGTGGTTTTCATCCTATTGTGGTTTGTTACAGATACCACTGACTGGAGCATAGGGCTTCTAAACATGCTGGTTCCATTTAACTATGCCAAGTCTATCTTCTCGGTCTGTTCTACTAAACCACTATGGCACTAGCCCTGGTCATCCACAGAATTTGACTCTGGGGTCCCGCCCCACAGCTTAGCAGTTAACAGTATGAGGTGACAAACTGGCACGCACAGTTGAAGTTAGAAAGGCAAGTCACAGTCCAGACCAGGTTCAAGATAAGCCAAATTTCTTACCTATGACAAGGTTCAAAGGGAAAGCAGAAAGTAGTTAGAGTTAAGTGGAAAATCAAACTTCCAAGGAAGTTTACACCGCCTGGGGACAAGGCATGGAGTTCTAACAGAAATGGTCCCAGCGTCACACCGCTTTCAAGCAGAAGCCTAAATGCTGGGAGTTTCCAGCTGGCACCAAGATCAGACTGTAAGCACCAGCTTTGAGAAAGGAAGAGTCTATTTTCGTGGAGACCCTCCTGTCCATGCCACACACCACTCCTAGCATTTTCCCACCTTGCCTGCCTCCTGCTTTCCAGCTTATGGCAATATCATCTTGTGGGGCAGAGTCTGGAACCAGAGGGCCTGATTCTGCGTCACCATTGGTGCTTCGGCCTGATTCGCAGTCAGCTCTGCCTGCGGTCTTGTCCTGCCCCTCCCTCTTCCTCTGATAATTCATATGCCAGAAATGCAACTCCGCAGCATATTCCATGCTGACGTTGAACGATTCCTACTGATTTCCACAAGGCTAACTAGTGGAAAGACATTTTGCCATCTGCAGGTCGCACTCCTCTTTCTCAAGACAAGCGCAATGAAATGCCTTTGTCAGTTGCCCTACACAAAATTCTCACCACAGCTGAACTCTGGGCTTTTTACCATCCCCAAAGTAGATCGGAACTCTGCTCTCTTAGTCACAGAAATGTTCACTATACTGTAATTGTTACCTCCTTTCCTTGGATTTTCAGTAAAACTTTCGGAGGAAGATCTCCAGGGAAGTGGTTCCAAAGCACCTCTACTGCCCAATTCTTCCTCCAACTTCAACACATTTTTGGGCACACAGAACTATGAATTGCTGCAAAGGCCTAACCTCTGTTGTTGTTTGAGGGATGATAGAGAGCAATCACAAAATTAGAGCCTGAATGTAGTTATTTTATGCCTTTTTGGGGTCTCAGAAAACTGCTCGGAGAAAAGGTGGCTCGGAGAAAAGAAAGAGTACTTATATTTGGAGCTTCCATTCACTTATTTGGCACTGCGGTCAGAAAAACTGTCTGATGGCTTGAAGCTGACAAGCAGTAGGCATTGCTGCTTCTCACTCCCCTTATTTCAGAGAAAAAGGCCATTCGTGAGTGTATAATAATAGCTGACAGCGAAGCAACATATTACACGTAGCTGTATTTCTTTCCTCCTCTCCTCCCATCCGTCTTGAACAGAAAAATGACCAAAGAGGCTACTTAACTATGTGTCTTGTAGTCAGCTTCCCTTTCAAAATCACTGCCCCATCTTGCCTCCCATCAAGGAAAAGGCAGAACCTCTCTCTTTTTTCCACAAAGGATGAAAAACAGATTTGAAGCGATCTATAGCCGAGAAAAGGTGAAATAATTCTAGCACCCCCAAGGTTCTCTATTTGGGATCTCAGGCTTTTAGAAGAACCTTCCCTGACCAAGACTCTGATGGGAGAAGAACCATTGAAAAAATACACAGGCACATTTTAGGTAGAGCTTAGCTCTGAGCCAAAGTATACAAAGCACTTTTAAAAAATACAGAAAATTGATGATATAGATGGGATCTTATTATGGTTATGGACCGACCACAGCCCAATTACAATTGACTATATGTCTCTGGCTGAAATACTCAGATTAATAAACAAATGTTGGTTACTGGTGAAAATAAGACACACCCAACATCCCTCTGACAGCAAATAACATCAAAATGTTCAAGATGCTATTTAATTTAGAGTCCACCACTCACCCGCAGGCAGGCCTCCCTCTGGTTACCAAGCAACCAGAGCACAAGCACTGCCCGTGCATGTGAGCAAATTTCTTTCTTTAGCACTTCTGTGACAGCATAGAGGGAAAAGATCACTAGGATGCAGCACAGCCAGAATTCTCCAAACTCCAGTTCTGGAACTGCTTTCAAATGATGATAACAGGGAAGGGGAAGGGGAAGAAGGGTTGGTGGAGAGCAAATCCAATTTCCTCTCTTACACTGAAAAGCAACATTAGAACCACTGGGATCCACACAAAGAAAGAGGTAACATGGCAGCACAGATTTTTAAAGGGAACCAGATAGGCCTATGTAGGAAAAACACAAGTTTTGAATTTTTGGCTACCTCAACAGTACGATCAGTTGAATGCTGTTCCTCCTCCACATTATGTTTATAGATACATGTACGTCCCTTGTGTTCCATCAAGAGAATAACGGCTTTGCTCCTCTCAGAATAACTGCATGCTGAAGTTTCAACAGCAAGTTGAAAAAAAGCATCAGAAAATAATTGTGCAATTGAAACAAAGGAAGAGTAACAGTGACCATTTCTAGCATTACAGAGAGGAAGATAACTGCCCAAAATAAACCTACTCTAAGACTAAAGTTATAAAAAGCAGAGAAGATACACATAAACATTGTTTGTAAACAGCTGTGTTCTTTGGACTTCAGACAAATTCTGGAATTACAATGTGCATAAATATGTTTCGGTTTTAGGCCAATATAACTATGAACAATTATATGATCTGAGTTTTAGTTTCATTAATAACTTGGAGCACTCTGCTTCAAAGTGTCCTAAACTTAGGTCCGTCTATTAATATGTAGAGATTTTAATTAACAACTTGGCTGCTCTTTTGCATCTGTTCCAGAAACAAAACTTACCCACCAAGTCCTTTGTCCCGAAAAATGGAAAAGGGTTAACAGTTATAACAACTCCCATCCCACTGGGAAGAAAATGTTTTCTCTTTCTCTCTCTCTTTTTTGGCATCTAACAATAAAAAGGAAATAGAAGGTTTGGAGATGGAGAAAGAGGAACACGGTTATATAGAGTCCCCCATTAGGGGGAGACGGGTGGGGATAAATTTAATAAATAAATAAAATAATTAATAATTAATAAAATAATTAATAATATTTTAAAAAATAAAAGAATTACCCAGATTTCAGCCACAAGGGGGTGCCATAACTCCATTTTTGAAAGAGAGTTTTGAACTTCACTGTCAAGCAGCAGAAAAGGCCAGCTCCCCTTCCATTTGCATGCTTGCTACATTATTTAAAAGGAAGCCGGGAGATTCAACCATAACACTCGAGATTGCTCCTTCATCTGCAGCTATAAAGTGGCTGTATTTGCTAACTGTATTTGCTAACTGTTAGGTAATTGCTGTTTCATCACACGTAAATATTTGTTTCAAATTAATCTTGCCGAACCAGACTGATTCCGGAGAGTGATCTAGAATACCCTTAAGACCGGGTAAGATTTTAGGTTCTACCAGCACCCTCGGGAGCACGCACACGTTCTACAAAACGTGTCTGCCAACATCCCTGCAGGGTAGGATTAGACACAGCAAGCACCATTTCAGGTCTTCTCATTTACCACGGCAAGCTTTCCAAGCAGGCTCCAGGGCCTTCAGAATACAGCTTGAAAAACGCCATGTTAAAGTCAATGTTGGCTACTAAGTTCTGACCTTATTTTTACAATTTTAAAAAAGCAATATAATAAATGCCCTTATTACCTTAAATAGTATCTGTCTTGAACTGCAGGCGGACATCTAAAAGCCTCTAAACAGCCCACAGTGAGCATACATCAAGCTCTCTGTAACTATACAAATATTTTGACAAGGTTTAAATTCTGTAAATACGAGTTGTCTCAAAACCAGCATTTTCTCTCTGTTCCTAACTGGTGGAAAATTACCGGGCTGGGTTGGCCATCTCCAGAATGCCTAATAGACCTCTACGACATAAGAGGCTTTGCAAAAACAATGAGGCTTTGCAATTTTAAAAGCAGAGAATAATGTCTTTTAAACTATAAAAGGGAGTTTTTGTCAATGGAACAGAAATGCGGCTGGTCTTCAAGCCATCAGTGGGCCATTTTTTCTCATGTCCCTTTGCACAGAAATGTAAACTTGTTTTGTATAGATAAAGGAGGTGTGACAAAACCACTTCCCTGGGGTTATTGGCCACACATTTTAAGCTGTGCAGCCTGAAGGGTTTT